TCCTCTTCGCTCAGGGGATTTCGCGAGGAGGGCGGGGGCTAACTCGGGGGCCGGAGCCGGCGTCCGGCCAGAGTGGGGGCGGCTCCGCGGGGTCCCCGGTTGGGATCGCTGCCGCCGCAGCCCCGGCCCTGGAAACACGGGAAGTGCAGCAGAGGGTGAGCCGTGTTGCACAACAGTTGTTTCCTTTCGTTTTTCGTTTCCCAGGTGCCTGGTAGGATTCTTTTCCCCGAGCAGGCTTTGTGCGGGTTAGGCTAGACCTGCCAGGTCTTCTGCTCTGGGAATGCACGAGGAGGGGAAAAATCCCGGACTTTCTTAGCTGGGATACAGTTGCTTGTCTGTATTAAACACACTGTCCTTCACCAAGACTTTGTCCTGCCTTCACTCCTTGTACATCATTATGTTCCTGTCAATTCCGACTTCTCTAGCGGGGTCTTAAATAGTTACCTGTGTCGCAAATTTCTGGCTTGTTTGGGGTAGCATGTACACAATCCTTTGCGTACAACTATTGCTTTAGGCTATGTGACCTGCTGGTGGAAAGTTAAAACAACATTCTGCTTTTAATGTGTGTTCTGCTTTGTTGTATTTTTCCTACTGCCTTCATATGGCAGTGTGTTCTAACTTTGTCATGACGATTTGACTTTGAAAAAATCAGTGTCAGTATCTACAAACGTTTCTTGCAGTGCTGTGAAGTCAAGAATAGTGCTAGTGCCAGCCAGGAAATTAGAAGTATCCCGAGACAGGGCAAAGCTTAGTATATGCTGTGTCTGCTTTGAGGGATAGCCTTGATACATTATGACCCGTGACTACAAACCGTTGCTGTGTGCCCTGGCATCTTCCTCCCCGCCTATCTCGCACAGTGCAACTCTGCTGCTGCCTGTCAGTGCAGCCAGGAGCACAGCTATGGCTGGTACCCATCAGAACGCGTTTCCAGCGTAGTAGAGTATGTGAAAGTAGCTGCATTAAAATAATAATAAAAAAAGGCAAATTCTGCACCAGATTTTGTAGACTGGTCTTCACGTGACCTGCTTTGGAGCTCTCCGCATTTGTGAACTAAGGCATGTTTTAACACATAACACCTTTCATTAGATAATTCCTTCTCCAGGCAGGTTCTGCTGAAATGCATACACGTCTGTTCTTTGGGACTGCTTGAAGTATGTAAAATTCATTGTATGTGATAACCAGTTTTGGATACATATCTTAAAGGCCCTTGTATAAGGACGCTGTTTATTTTTTTTTTAAATAGATAAACTAAACATTGCTATGTGTTGTGTCATTCATTTCTGGGGGAACTGTGCAACAAGAGCTAAACAGATGCTTAAGTAACAGTATAATGTACAGTAATGCAGCATTGTAAATCTCATTCCTCTGTTTATCAATCCTACGGGAATAATTGGATTACCCAAAGTTGTGGATTGCTAACGTCTTTCTTTTTGGCCCTAGAATTAAGATGACATAATTTGTCAACAGTTATGATAATTTTGGCTTTTCTTTTTAGTATAAATAAAGAAGCATAATTGACTTAGTTTATTTCTAAAAGGAAATAAACTTTTATGATAATAAAAATACTTGCAAGAAGGGCAGACTTCAGGAAACACATGGTTGCTTGGTGCGATCTAAGCAGAAACAAAAAGAATCGATTTTCGTCTCTCTTCAAGGGTCTTGGGCTGTTTTTGCTTTAACTCAATCTAGATGCTGGTATTTTTATCTGTTCATGTATTACTATTAAAGAATGCTATAGTTTGTACGCATTTTTCTACTCCTATAACAAATAGAAGGGTTTATTTGCTGTGTTAGGAAGTGTGGTATTGTAGTCCTATTCCTCTAGTAATTTTGGTTTTGTTAATTTTTTTAAGATTATCTAAAGTCTGCTGAGTGTATAGGGGTGTTTTTAGGCTTGAACACTGAAGTTTGAGTACTTCAGAAAATTGGAGGAGGAAACTTGCAATATACTGCCTTATGATGTTTGTTTTGTCATTAGTTGCAATGGCAATACCAGTGTGTTTCATCCAAGAAACTTTGGGTGCTTTTTATGGTCATGAATTTAGTGTTGATATATAAATGTGAGACAGTACTAGGAGTCTCGCTTTGTGCTATTGAGGAAAATGGTGGAGTGAAGCCTCTAAAATTTCAGGCATCTAAGGAAAAGTTAGAACTTGGAGTGTTGTCGTGCTCCTGCTCTGTTTGTGTGGTAGTTTTTTTTTTCTTTTCTTTTTTTTTTTTTTTAGCAGACTGTTTCATGAGATACCCAAAACACCAGTTCTTTTCACAGTGCAAGTAAAAATCTGGAGGCTTGCTTGCAGATTGCTGATCCAGGATTTTTTTAGCGAATGCTTGTAGTTTAGTAACTTTGCAATCTCCTTGCCTTCTTTGTTCTTAAGTGCTTTTGTGTTGGCTTTACCATTTGGCGTTGAATGGCAGTATAGTTCACTGACAAAATGTAGGGAACTGTTTCAGACTTGCTGCATCTTGTTTTGTTCTGATCTCAAATATTTTGCTCTTTTTTTTTTTTTTAAGTTTCAATTATTGATATTGACAATGTTGATTTGATCTTATTTCTCTTTTCCTGAAAATACAACTGTTTGCTCCTATTTTGTGGGTGAGAAGTTGATGGGGCTTTAAACAAGTATCTTTATGGTATGTTGTTTTAAGACTCCAATTCCATCTGCTTTTTCACCTGTTTGCTGCTTCCCCTATTTGTTTTTAGTATTTGAGTTCTTTCCCTGAGGGTAGGAATCAAACAACTTATTAATCATTGCTTTCTACTCATAATGGCCAGAGGCACTGTCATAGCAGCAATGACTTGTAAAGGATGATTTGTTTTGGAAAGCTAAGTAGGTAGATCTGTTTTAATACACAGAATGGTATAAACTACTACAAATGCCTCTGCTGCTGTGATAATATGCTGCTGTGCAATTTGGTTCTGCAAAGTAAACTGACCTGAAATGTCATGTAAAGGAACAGGATGTTCTTACAAGTTCTTTCCGTGACAGCAAAACAGGAGATAGTTTTGAAGTTACAGACTTGAGATCTGTAGAAATCTGAATCTCTGATTCCTAGAGGTTAGCAATCCTGCATACGGGCAATACAAATGCTGTTTGGAGCAAGTCACAGGTTCTTGTTTTTCTTTCTCTTTTCAGTCAGGAGTGGAAATCAGTGTATTTTTGTTCCTGTGGACAGTCCCCTGGGGTTAGAGTTCAGATACGTTAGAAAGGGAAAACTTTGGTGGGGGCACAGTTGCTGTGACTGTGTTTCCAGTGAAGACTCCTTTCATACTCCACTCAAAAGTAGCTTGCTTGGAGACCTGAGGGTGTCTAGTTTCTTGAAAGCTTGGGATTGGTTTTTGGGTTTGAGCTTGAAGGGTGATAAATCAGTCCCAGCAGTCCAGGTTGTGCCCAGGGTGGGTATTAAAAAAAAAAAAAAAAAGAAAAATTCAAACTGGGTGCAGTCTCTGGCTCCTGCTTTTTTTGTCATCACAAACTGAATGGGTCTGTCTTGAGGCAGTGAGTCAGACTGATACAAAGAGTACTTCCTCTCTCTCTTCCAGACTGAGACTGGCACAGATAGAGGGAAGGTGTTTGCAGACTTTTCCCCCTTGCCTTTCCCTGAACTTTTAACATTCAAAGAATTTGTGCATGTTTAATCTCTTTAAAGTAAACCCAAAAATGCTTGAAAAGGCTTGTCTGCCATTTTAATCTGGAGGTAGAGGCCTGTCTAGGTTGTTTTAACACAGAAAGTTAGTATGTGTTTTTGGCACTTGATCCTAAAGTCCGACCGTACAAAGGATATTTCTGTATACTCAGGAAAAAGTCCCTTTAGGGGCTGGGAAGATGCATGTGGTAGACACCTGTACATATTTTGCTTACTTTGTCTACGGTGTTAAGCAATAAAATATAAAAGGAAGATCTGAAACATGATCAGTAGGGTATCCTTGTTTCTGACTACTTGGGAAGATTTCTTCATCGAGCACCATCTGGACCTGAGGCAGTGTCTGTAAAATCCCTTTGTGCTGCACTGGAACGTAACGACAGGCTTGATCCAAAATAAGTAGTGACAGGCAAGGAATGGGGTTGATAGACAAGTGAGAGATCAGGTACTATCAGCAGCTAACAGGAAAACTTTGATGTCCTTAATTCATGTCTTACAGGACATAACACTTAAAACTCTTCTGACGAGCTTTAGTTCTTGAATCAAACTTGTTTGTACAATTAATTCTTATCCTGGAAAGGTATCAAAACACTATAGTTTAGAACTGCAACTTTTAAGAACTTTGAAGAACTGTGGTCTTAAAACAAATGTGCTAGAAGGAAGCTGCTACTTGATGACATCATAGAAAAGAAGGTGGCTGACCATCCACTGGAAAGTAGTGACTACTGTTGATGCAAGAGGCTGAGAAATGTTTGCATGGTTCACTCTCTTTGCACTGGTAGGGTGTCACCCATGCTTGCTCTTTACTCTCCTCAAGGTGTTCTTTTTTTCCTGTCAAGAATCTGAGCCTCTTGGTACACTTCCTGTGGTTTTTTTTTTTTCAGTCTGTTTACTAGGAGTTACTGCTGTAAAATCATACCTTTCATTTTTACATCTCTTACCTGTTTCCAAATGATTCTCATCTCTGTAACATTTTTCACAGTGTTTCTCCTCCCTCACTAATGAAACTTTTCACAGGCAGACAGCCTCTTGTAATACGATGTTGCTATTATTTTCACACATAGAAAGGAAGAAATACGGTGCCTTGGATAGTCTGATGTCATGTAATAAGGAGGATAACAGTTGTCATACTGTCCAGTGAAAATATTGAAATGTTGAACTGATCAGGGTTTTTTTTTGAAGTGGTGTTTTTTCTTGCAGGAAGCAAAACCTTCAGCTGAGGACTTAGGAGATAAAAAAGAAGGGGAATATATTAAACTCAAAGTCATTGGGCAGGTGAGTGTTTACATAATTACTTGTTGACATTTGGTGGAGGTGTGAGTTTTTGTATTGTAGAAATGAACAAACGAAAGTTGATAATTGCAGTTCTTCAATGTGGATCCTCCCCTGCCATAAACTACTTGCCAATTGCCAGTGATGTGTGTTAGTATACTCTGGTGCATTGTTTTGGTGTGTTTTTTTTTTTAAAGCTTGAGTAATTTATGACTCAGGATTTGGGCAGTGTGATACCCATTTTACATTAGGGTACTTGATGCATCGAGGGATTAATTTATCCAAGGATATGAATATGTGGCAAAATAGATATATTCAGATCTTCAGAGCTCGTGTAGTACACAGAGCATGAGGTCAGCTTTCTTGTACAGGGGTAGGAAGAGCATTCTGTTGGCTGGCGTGTTGGTAGATATGAATGATGGATTATAAGTCTGAATTCAAGTTGTGTTGGAATGTGAATGCCGAAATACTTCTTGAACAGAAGTCCTTCTGTGCAAAGAACCCCTAGCTCATGTGACCTAACTCAGTATTGTTTGGAGTATTAGTGTCATTGCTGTGCTGTTGACTGGAGGCAGATGCCTTAAAGTAAGACTAACACAAACTAGCTTAACTCTTGCTGAGTTAATGGGCAATGATGACACATTTAAAAGCTAAATGTGACCCACATGCTTTTTGTACAGGATCTTTTGCAGTCTGTTTTATCTGTAGCTGTTTTGACAGTTGTAGTTACTCATATCTTATGGCTAGTAGGAAGGACTATATAATAATGAGACCCAAGATTTCTCCTTAGGTTAGTGTGGTGTTGCCAAGTCTGCCATATCCTACCTTCTAGATAACTACTCTGATTTAATGAGGTTTTGTGGATATTTTTGAAGAACAAGCTTTAACTTGTGTCTTTTCAAATCTTAAAGCAGAAATCCCCTGCATATGTATGTTTGTATTTTGTAAGTACATCAGCTGGGTAAAGATGGAAGCACAGACTGAACCATGTATAGGTTTTACTACTTTTAAATCCAAAACCTCCATAGTGAGCCTAAGGCTATACTGTGCCATCTGCTTTAAAATAGAGCTTCCCGTGGAAGTGCACAATGAATTTAGTGACAGATAAATCATCCTGGAGTTTCATGTTACGATGCATGAAAGGTGTGCACGGTGGTAGTTAAACTGCATTTCATGTTAGTTTTATGTACGTGTTTCTTAATTAAAAACTTAGAACTAGCATAGGTGAAGTAGTTACTGCAAAGAGTAATTTTTTTTCTTTTCTGTTCTTAGGACAGCAGTGAAATTCATTTCAAGGTGAAAATGACAACACACCTCAAGAAACTCAAAGAATCATACTGTCAAAGACAGGTTTGTGAAACAATGACACACTCTCTCTAAAAAGAAAATGAAAAAGCCAAACACTTTATCTTTACTTTTTCTCACTGTTCTTTCATGTGAAGACATTTGTTGAGACACTCAAGCTTCTGTCTAGTTACCAGCAGGACAGATATCTGGATCTCCTGATTTCTTTTAACTAGTGTTTCTATTTAAAACAGCTGTGAACTTTGTAGTAAGTTAAAATCAGATTGAAAATATATAGTGCTTAGAAGACATAGAAGTTACCTTTTAAATGCCCAGCCATGCATTTATAGTTAAATTAATGTAAAATTCCCTTAACGCTGAAGAATACTGCAGGTTAGGATGAGAGCAGCCATAGGCATTGTTAACAGGCACTAATATGGTGATTGACTAACACTAGTTATTATGCCCTAAGTTAAAGAAATCTGCAACATTACTCCTGTATGTAGGTAAATAGTAACTACTGTTACAGAACAAAAATGTTTCTTCACTTCCTGATTCTGAGGCAGATATTGTGCATTCACTGTTACTATTTCCAGAAGCCCTGGCCTAGTTTACCCCTAGCTTTGGGGATAAGATGCCTTGTGTGGCCTTTTCTTGAGTAATTGTGTTGGAGTTCACTTCAGAAGAAATAATCATAAGAAATACTTGGGGTTTTTTTCTTAATACCTTAAAACAAGTAGAACTTGTTGACTGAGTTGTTCTTTTGTGGAATGTGTTCTTTTTTTCTATCCTTCTAGAGAAGTAAAGATCAACCACCAGTTCAGTTTGTAGCCAAATGCAAATGATTAAAATTGTGATTTGTTTAAAAACAAGATCTTGGATCTATTAATTCATGCAGCAGCCTTACTGACTGATGACAATGCATGTGTGTGGAATGTTTTTTTTTTAAGAAGAAATAATTGTTTGAATGAACACAGCTATATCTCCCCCGCTGCCTTCTGGAGAGTCTGTGATTTCCTTCATGAGCAGTCAGCATGGCTTTTGATGTCAAGTAGTTTTTCTTTTATAAAGAGACCTTGAATATTTCCTCCAAGTTGGCCAGAGGGATTGTTGGAACAGTGTGACAAGCTGTTCTTTCCTGTGAATTTTTCTGCTTAATTTGCAGCAATATTTGAGATCTTGTTGATGCACAAAATGGATCGTATTTCATTTGCATCTGTTTTGCCATTAACTTGAAAGGGAATAAAAATTTGAGGTGTTTGCCTCATCTCTTGAGGTGAAGTATGATGTTCTGCTGTAACACAGACACACTGTACAATAGGCACACTACATCTCAACTGTATTTACCATTAGGGTGCTCCTTTCTCCCTGTTTGAATGGTGTTCCTTTCCCCCCCAGCTCTGTTCGTTCTTGTCCCCACTGTAGAGCTTTTGCAGAACTGATAACAATAAAGGTTGATATTCCTTCCAATGGTGATATAAGATTGGGAAACCAAGGGTAGGGGTTTGATGTAAAAAACACATTCTTTCTGTTGTCTTAGGATTTTTAATAAGGCTGATATGCAATTCAGAAAAGAAAAAACCCCAGACTGTTGTCTTGGAGAAATTTATATCCAATTTATAAATCAAAAAAAAGACGAGAAAAAAAAAGCTGAGGAAATTTCCAAGCTGTTGAGCTGGAACTCCATTGAGACTTTGGAATAAACATGCGTTTTAGCACTGTCGTGCTCTTTGAGTCACTAGTTTGTAGTGTACGTGGTTGCAGCAGAATAGCTGAGCTCCCTGTGTAACAGGAACTAACACTTTCCTTTTACACGTGTGTTATATTAGAAATGTTTTTCTTCTAAATCCACACAAGTGTCAGTAAGGTTTTTTTGTATTTCTGTTTCTTTTTCTAGGGTGTTCCAATGAATTCACTCAGGTTCCTCTTCGAGGGTCAGAGAATTACTGATAATCATACCCCCAAGGAGGTGAGTTTCTTTCTCAGTGTTACATAGTTCACTGGAGAAACTAAATACCAAATTGGTTAGTTCCTCTGTTCTGCTGGACTGTTAACCAGAATGAAGGTATTTCTTTAAATATAGCCAAGTTTTTGGACTACAGTTAAATATAGTGTGACTATATTTATCTAAGCAGAATCTTTAATAGGCCGATGTGCAGTTCAGAAAGAGACTGACTGGACCTTCGTGTGTAATGTTGTCTCAGAAAGGGAGGGTGTACTCACTGCTTACCAGAGAGAAGAAAAACTAAAGGAACTTCCTAGTTGTTGAGGTAGATCTTCTGTGTGACTTTGGAATAAATAGGTATTTAGTGCATGTTTGTCAGATCAAAGTGTAAATAAACAGAGAACAGGTTACTTCTGCTGTCCAGTGGCTTCCACCAATTGTTATAACAAAGCAGGAAGAAACAGTGTTACAATAATACCTTCTGAAAAAATCAGACAAGCGTGTGTATTGTGAACAAGTTACCCTCTTTAAGAGAACAGCTGTAAACAGGCTTTGAGTTGTAAGCTGTAGTCTTGGCTGTACTGTGAGCTAGTAGCATACTGCATATAATTTGCATGGCTGTACAGCTGGTGCAGTCACTGTGGTGTTGGTTACATCCCTGTGCATTTGTTGCCCAGGAAGGAATTTAGAGGAAGGTAAAGGTAGCCGTTTCCAGGCTGATGTGTACTGCTCCACAAGTGGATTTAGGCTTCGCTGATAAGACTTTTACTTGGACTGAGATGTATCAGACTGAAGGAAAAGAACTAAAAATCAAGAGTGTTGGCTAGTGAGGTGGTGACTGAGGGTTTTTTTCACCCCGTGATGAATTGTGATGGGCCATAGGAACAAAGCATGGTATAACTTGTCTAGGACCTGCTCTGATTTCAGTACACCAGATTTATAACAATTATATGCTGTTTTTCTCTGTTCTCACAGCTGGGGATGGAGGAGGAAGATGTGATTGAAGTTTATCAGGAACAGACGGGGGGTCACTCAACAGTTTAGATCCTTCTGTTTTTCTCCCCCTTTAATCCTTTTTTATTTTTAAATAATAGTTCTTTTGTAATGTGGTGTTCAACACTGAATTGAAACTGGCACCCCATCTCTGGGATTTATTTTCAAGCGTCTGGTATTTTGAATTCTCGTGCTCATGATACACTATTGTTTCTGTTTTCATTGTGCTGAACTCTTGTGATCCAGCTGCAGCCTTGCTCCCCTCTTCCCTTCTGCCCCCTCCCCTTTAGAAATACATGTACACACGTGCATCTGTATGTTCGCTAGGTTCGTGCATTTCAAGCACGAAGGCTGTAACATCTGCCAGGTGGGCGAGTGTTCTTAATGACTTCCATATCTGCCCTGAAGTTTTGATGTGTGACTGTTTCACTCCTGGACTATAACTTTCAGTGCGAGATGAAGTTTTTCAGAGAACTAAACTGTGGAGAAATCATGTATCCATAACTCAGAGCTATTTTGCTTAAATTGTGCTGATGGCCCAACGAAGAAGATTACCAAGTTGGAAATGGAAAAGCTAGAACTGTTGTCATCTGTACCTTGCTCCGGAGATGGCTTTGCTGAAGACATGAAATTGAAAACCCTAATGAGTCTTGTATCTTGCCAGAAGAGCCCAGAAGCATTTTAACTTCATATAGCAATTAGTACACGCAGGTATTCATGCAAGAATGTTCACAGCAGACAACTGGTGTTACTTTGACACTCTTGTTTGTACCTTTTGGCCTGGGACGTGGGTTTTGAATGGACATTGTCTGTACCAGCTTCATTTAAAAATAAACAAGAAAAACAATTTTATAAATAACTTGCATTTTCTTTTCAAATGTTTGGAAATAAGCAAAACCATAAGAAGTTATAATTAGGGCATGCTTTTCTAATACCTGTACACTGAAGCCAGAAAAAAAGTGCTCTATAAATATACCTCATTTTTAAAAATTACTTTTTTCTCCTTGCCCTAGTAAAATACTTGATCTGTGTGGTTTGCAGGTGACTGTTTGAGACTACTAGCTGGTTTTTTTCTTGTTAGAGAATATTCACATACATTTACATTCACCTTCACTTCATGCACAAAAGGTAAACTGAAAATGCAACTTGGAAGGAAATATGGAGATGGTTTTTAATGTCTATAATTCGTATGATCATGGTACCATTAAATAATCTCTCTGTAGTGGATGACATGGAAGTGTCGTGATAGTTCCTCAGGCATCATTGAGGGTCCATTTCATGTTCTAGATAGTTGCAGGTTCTAAATGGTGAGTTTGAGAGCTTGTTTCTGGATATGAAAGCTCAGAAATGGGAGGTTAGGGGCAGGGTGGTGTGGAGGGAAGGTTTCTGCACTGTCCCTGCTTTAGCCTTTGCAGATAAATAGGACTTTTTTCTGATTTGGTTTGGTAAATCGAATTCACTATGAATGCCAGCTTCATTTAAAGACACGTTTTTGTGCTGGCATACTTGGAAGAAGTCATAATTTTTGAATGATTTGTTTTTATGGCACTTGCTGTAAAGCTAGAAATGCATTTTCTTTCATGCTCGTGGTTTGTGTCCTGTTTCTGATTTAGTAACACTTCTGTACACATAATTGCACTAAGCAGTTTTTTTAAAGATTAAAATTTTTGTTTACAAAACGTCAGAATATGGGTTTTCTTGAAGTATTCTATGTAAATCTATCCTGAGGGGGAAGAGGGATTGCTACTGTGATGTAGAACAGCACAGTTTCTTTGCACTTTTCTCTGCTTTTTTAGAATACTAAATATATCTGCTTCAGAATACCAGAAATAAAATTGCCTTGTGATTATTAACAGATTCTCTTCTAATTTAAATTTGTTTAGTGCTGTTGTTAGTAGACAAATTCTCATTATCTTTCTTCTACAAATTAGGAACTGAGGCACAGGGGAGGTTAGTTTACTTGGGTCGCTCTGGAAGCTCAAAGTGGAGCTGAGAACAGAATCCAGATCCCCTGGGTTTGATGCTAGTATTCTAGTTGCTGCACCAATTTTCTTTGCTTCTTACTGTTCACTCCCCTCTTCCAACGTTTTATATGCTCATTTATATCAGCTTTCTAGTTGAGGCACTGCATTTAGTTCTCTTGAGACTATGGAGGAGGGTTCCTTGCAGAATGCAGCTTCAGTAGGATGAAGCTCAAGGCGAAGACTTCTTTCTATTATGTAACCTTGTCCTAAAATATATCTCTTTATAGAGTGGATATGGTACTGGTGACAAACTGAGTTGACCTCTTTCTCAGACTTGTGACGCCTCAGAGAGCTAGTGCCTGAATGGAGCTGCTGGTCTAAAGCAATGTCTGTGCTGTTATAAAATGAACAGTGATAACAGGAAAACTGCTCTGCCTCAAAGACTAGTATTGAGAGCTTCATGTCAAATGAGAAGATACACACGCTATACAGATGCACCAGTACCTGTTGTAAGGAAGTTAATGCTTGGAAGTTGTACATTGAAATAAAACCTTAATTTTGAAGTCAAGGAGTAGACAGACCTGAATTTTCCTCATTTCTCTGGAGGAACTAATAATTTTCAAAGAGTGTCTTTCTGAAAACATGGTCTGGAGGGGAATTTCTAAACCACTCAGCTTTGAAGCTCGTGACTGGAAGTCAGTTTGGCCTTCATATGTTGGAGAAAAACTTTTTTTTTTTCTTCTCCTGCTTTTTTTTTGTTTACCTGCTTTACATGTATGTTAGCAGAACTGAGTTCACCTGTTGATGGCTGGTTTTAAGTGCTTTTTAAAAAAACCAGTGGTGGTGGAAGAATGAAACTATCTTCACTAAGTCAGTTATGCGGTGTAAGGTGGAAGCTAATCCTTGCTTTATTTCTAATTGTGAAATTAATATATTATAGTCCCTATGGTGGCATATAAAAGCTGTGTTGATGCATGCTTTACAAAATTACTGGTCTTGACAGATCTCTTAAGATCAAAAAAGGTGTGTTTAAAGTATTTGTGTATTCTCTTAAGTATAAATATATCTACATGATCATCAATTTGACAAAATGAACTTTTTTAAGTTAAATGTGTAAATATTGGCAGAATTTGGACTTCAATTAGGATGTCAGATAATACTAAAACAAAGTCTGCCACAAATTTTGAATTACCAAATATTGTTTTAGAAGCACTACAACTGTATACTAGTTTTTAACTTTCTGTACTTTAAATGGTATTTAAAGTACAAAATTTAAAAAGGAATTTTTAAGAATACAATACTAAAATATCTGTACATCTTCTGTATGCACTTTTGAATTATAGCTGTTAAGGTAAATTTTCTTAAATTAGAAGATTAGCTTCTGAGGCACCATATGGACAACTGTAGGAATTGCACAAGTTAGAAGTAGTGTAAACTGTGTTTGTTTTGCTTTTAGAACCAGTATTTAATGCATATTTAATTTAATGAAGTTCAGCTTCAATTTAGACACTGCAAAAATTGATTACTGTTCTACATAGGAGATTCTCTATAGGAACTGCAGTGGGAATTCAATCTACAAATATCTGGCTTTCTTATGTCAGCTAATACTAGAGAAGCAGAAAGTAAGTTAAACATGATTTACAAGGAAGAAAAGTCATCTTGCTATAGTTTCTGTGTCATCTTACTGTTGATACTGAAATCTAGCCTTTGCTTAGACAGTAGCATGTTTGTTGCATTTTATTTGTTTGGAGAATTCCTCCAAAAGTCAGCATTGAGGTCTTCATAATGCTTGTAAACTGATAGTTCCCTTGTTTTCTCTCTTAACACAAAATGGACCAAAGAACCTGGGATGAAGCAGCCAAGGACAAGCTAAATGTGTTGTGGCACCTCAGGAGGTCTGTCTGGATTAATTTCTGCTGGCTGATACCATGAATGCTTTTACGTCCTATCAGTAGGGTGCACACATAGGCTACTGTTCAGTCTGGGAAAAGAATATGTGAATGAGAGTAGCACCTATCCCAAAAAGGAACACTTGTTCCTCTTTTGAAACAGTTTGTTACTTGAATTAGAACTGGAACTAAAAGAGCTCAGTACAATGACCCATTCCTGCCATTTATTTATTCTTTTATATGATTTTTCAAGCATAGTTTTCCAAGCAGCTGAAAATAAGAAAACACCCATGGATGGGGAACATCTTGAGTGTGTTCTAGTCCAGTAGCTTCTGTTAGTAGTGGTTGTTGGAACTGGAAATGTTGTTCCAGATGTGCTCTTTGCCTGCAAATAGTGTTAATTAGTAAAGTGGATTGCCGACACAGGATAGAATTCCTCCTTTGGTTGGAAAGTGGATGCTTTGACTTGAAACCTACACACTCTGTTAGCTTGTTACTGGTTCACTGGCAGTTTCTTTGACTGCTACAGTACATACAGTGCCATCTGAGGCACTGAGCCTGAACAGGAGATTGGACTTGCCTCAGGAGTTGGCTTCGAGCAAGGTTTGGAATGGGCTGGGGCAAAAATGTTGGCTCATGCTAATACCTTTTTCTAGGGAGTATGTTCTCCTGTCACAACAGTATGAATAGAGCAAGCAGGAGATAATTACTGCTGCTCAGCTGTAGTTCCCATGTATCCTCTTATCCCTGGTACTGCTTTGTGGCTGACAACTGATCTAGGCTTCCCTTAAGAAGGCCTGTACACTATTTGCAGTGGTGCAGTGTGTGGTATGCAGACGCCCAGTTCCTGTGTTCTGAGGTGCTGGTAGGGATGAGTTCTGGAAGCATACTGTGCTGGAGTCTGCTCCGGTGGACTGCATAAAGGTTTCATATGTGCAGGCAAGACTATTTGGCTTCTTTCTGTAGTGTAAATGGATGTTATAAACTCTACACCAGTTAAAGAATATAAATAAGATGTGAGTTGCTGATGGGACTTGGGGAAACATTGGAAAACTGGTTAAATAGCAAAAGAAATGCATTGTGTCTTGGAGTCTGAATTGAAAGCAGCCTAACTCACTCCTTGGGTACCAATACTGCTCTTACCTACACTGATCAAACTGACTACGGAAGTGTTTTTGTATAGTCTTGCACAAGGTGTAAAGATGTATTATTATTACTGTGAGGAAAAAAAACTACTTCACTCCTGGATTGATAGCTACATACCTGATTAAAAGCTGTGCTTGTGTTTTCATTTCCTCTAGAGCTAGCATAGCATCTTCCTCTTTCTTCACCTGCTCCTGTGATCTTGTATTTTGTCTTCTCCCAGTTTCTTCTTTCATACTCCAGGCATTCTTTTGCCATCTCCACCAGCTGCTGGCGTTTCTCCTCTAACCACACTGCTCCTTCTTCCTGTCTGTGTTTTTCTGCCTCCTAGAAACAGATCACCAACAACTATTAGTTGCTCCCATACTTCCTATTTAGGAAATATTTCTTTATAAATTACAAATAGAAAGAAAATACTGTTATAATACTGACATTACAAGTATTTAATATTGTTTCAAACATATGAGTTTGTCTTAAATTGTAATTGGATTTTTGTTTTTAATCTGCTTAGGATTTAGGTTTCAAGCCTTCTGCAAATATTTGTATAGAAGTAGACTGCTTTAATCTGTGGCTACTGGGACTTGGGCTTTCAGAGGAGAGATATAATGAAAACATCAAGAAATTAACAGATATAGTAGCATGAGTGTTGTTATTGCTAGTGTCTTGCACAGTTGCATCATAACTGGACTGTGGAATTTCTTCTTCAGGCTGCAGGGACTGTGAAGAGAGAACTATTACCGTATCTATTTAATAGAGGAGGTGCAGCAAGTTTGGGACTTAGCTTGTGGTCTGCCTGTGACACTAAGTCTGTCTTTTCATCTGAGTGGATGATTTATAGTAATTATCTGCAGTAAAGTAAG